TTCTTCTTGTTTGACAAACATTTTAAACCTTTACCTTATTACCTCATTGCTTTTAGTCTAAATGGCGACCAGGCTTCACACCGTTTGGAATGTAGAAGACACCAATTACACACACAAAAAAAAAAACCAAGACCTAAGAGAATCATTTTTATAAGAAATGTTACTTTTGAAGATATGTGACTGCATCAATATGGAGGGAGGGCCAAAAGTGACACAATTCAATACAAAATAAAGCATTAAATAAGTGTTTCAATGTGTTGTTTATTAACAAACATTTCTAGTAAGGTGGCGAGGGAGGTTTTAAACTTAACAGATGAAATAGTTGCTGACCGGAATTTCCGTAGTCGTTCTACATCTGGAACCAGAACCAGACAGAGCTCAGTCGTGGGGCGGAGTCTACGGTTGTCTTTCAAACCGCCTCCACACGCAATTGGACTGCACTAGGGCCAATTATAGCAACAAACAACATCTGCCATATAACTTCAAAAAGAATGACGAAGAAGAATCAAATACATCTTTTTTCAAAATAAATGATAAATGGCCCACACTTGCATAGCGCCTTTCTGAGTCAGAGGACTTCCAAGTGTTTTATACTACAGTGTATCATTCATCCATTCACACACACATTCACACACTGTAGTGATGAGCTACAGTGTAGTCACAGCTGCCTTGGGGCACACTTTCCAAGCACAGGTACCACCAGTCTCACCGACCACCTCCAGCAGGCAAGGTGGGTTAAGTGTCTTGCCCAAGGACACAACAGCAGCATTCTCTGGCCGGAGCAGAGAAAAACTTGCAACCTTCTGATTACTGGACAACCTGTTCTACCTCCTGAGCTATAGCTGCCCAGTAAAATAAAGGACTTAAACACTTCTATCTGCTCATGTCAAAAGGAAAAGACAATGTTTAATTTGTCCAGAGTTGGTATCAAAGCCGTTTCAAATGAGCACCATTCTGAGCCGACGCTATTTCTTTCCGTCGCAGCTCTGGTGCAAAGCCAGCTCAATGTCTCTCTAGAAACATAAACCGTTTACACAAAACATTACCATGTTTTCCCTGTGCATGCATGGGTTCTCTCAGGGCACTCTGGCTTCCCTCCACAGTCCAAAAACATGACTTTCAGGTTAATTGGTCTGCCTAAATTTTCCTTAGGTGTGAGTGTGTGTGTGCTTGGTTGTTTGTCTTGTGTTGTCCTGCGATGGCAACCTGTCCAGGGTGTACCCCGCCTGTTTGCCCGTTGACTGCTGGAAATAGACACCAGCCCCTCGCGACTCAACAGGGACACGTGGGTTCAGATAATGGATGGCATTGCAATACCCTCACAGGGGACAAGCAAAAAAATCAAACATTTGATAGTTGTGCGACCGTACAATTAATGATCAGGAACTGGTCGAGAGATGTTAATCACTTCTTTTTACCCCCTTTGACGCACAATGCAAAACTCGCTCAAAAATTCTTGCACAAGAGGAAAATCGTCTTAAAACGGTTAAAATAATCGCAGTGTACTCCCGTCTTAACACACTTCAGAAGTGCAGAAGTACGTCATCTAAAGATGTTCTACGGGTAACATTTTAACAAAATATCACATAATTTAGTTTATCAGCTTTACCTCAGATTCAAGGTCAGCAAATGACAATTCAGATGAATTTCGTAAAGGCTTTGCCCTTTAAGGCTGGAATGGATTGAGTAAGCAATCCTCCTTTACCTACTCAAGTGATTGGTTAAGAAAGTGATGCTACCCAAACAGGCAAAGCCTTTTCTCATAGAATCTGGGATTACAATACGTAACCATTGTTGTCTCTGTTAGGTTTCTGATATCCCATCAACCTGACAGAAATCCTCCATAAACAGAGCCACCATGCTGCTGTTTTTAGGGTTAGCCCCACCCAGCGTTGACAGTTAAAATAAATACATGATGGATAGAAACAATGACAAAGAATTAAATGAATAAAAAAAACTATAAATGATTTTATTTATGGCACATTTATGAATTTATATACAAAGAAAATTTGCCTGATATTTTTTTCTGATTTTAATTAAATTTAAATAATTTAATGTTTCATTTAATCATTAAAATGTGTCACGTTTGGCCCCACATACACTGGCTGATAGAATTAGTGTAAAAACCTTTTGTCCCTGTTAGTCATTTAGTTGAAAATGTGTGTGTGTGAGTATGAGTGTGAGTGTGAGTGTGAGTGTGTGTGTGTGTGTGTGTGTGTGTGTGTGTGCGCGTGTGTGTGTGTGTGTGTGTGTGTGTGTGTGTGTGTGTGTGTGATATGAGATAGGGCGACATTAAAAGAGTAAATGACAATAGACAAAAGGTCCACTGATGTTCTTTATTACCATAGGTCATCATTTACTTTTCCTGGGTTAATTTTCTAGGCAGAAGACCGATGCACCACTATTCACGAAACTTTAACTTTCAGCATGCAGCTGTAGTTGCACCAAAAAAAAACAAAGGCCCTTATTTGCCTCTTTGCTGAACCTCGCAGTTCTTTCTACAGTGAACATTTTGACCTAGATGACTACTGCAAGTGAAACAGAACAATTGCTACAACCCAAAATAAACGTTTCCTTTTAAAAATATTGTTCAGCTAACTTTTTTTTAGCTAACATCATTCTGTTGACCTGGAACTAGCAGCAGAAACCAGCTTTTGGCGGGCACAGCTGCATGCTTCCTGATATGTTCATTATTGTACCACTGCCAAACTTTTCTGTCAATGAAACTTGGGAAAATAGGGTTTACAAATTAATTAGTCATAAAACCATTTCATCTTCTATGTAGATTGTAGTATTTATCTAGTAAAATGTGTGTATACTTCTTTTTTTGTTTAACGCTCCACTTTGCATGCTGCATGCTAATTTTTGTGTGTCGTCTCCCCAAAAAGGTATTTTCTAATTGTTAAAGGCCAACACACCTGTTCCAGCTTCAAATCCTTACATCCATTTTCTTTCTATTTCACATTTAAACTTTCTTTTTTTTTATTTTTATTAAAAACTGTACACAGATGAAGGAATTGATTGACCCTGTTGAATTTTGGTCATTTTTGACTATACCTCTTTAACAGGATTAGTGCCTTCCTCAGCAAATCTCCTGTATTGATCCCTAAGCGCATCTCCTTCCCTTTGTTGCATTATCTAAGGTGGTGGCAACTGAATTGATATATAATTACATAAATAAACATAACAATTATTATATAACACATTTATTCTCTAAATAATTAAATCAATAAATAAAAAGTTACTTATTGTAGCTTTATGTATTTTAAAGATAAATCTGCTTTTCTTTAAAACAAGTTTGGGTTTTTTTTGCACAGGAAGCTACTTATAATTCAGAAGATGTAGAGTTTTGTTTAGATCTAAATCCTAATTCATTTGGCCACAAAAACAATAAATGTAATTAGTAGTAACAGAATTTAAATTTGAAAAGAAATGTTGATGGTGGCTTTGCTGTTTGCAATCATACTTTTAGTTAAAAAACCCACACAAACACATTTTCATTCTCTAGGCTCCTCCATGACAGCCACTCAAATGTTAACCCATTAAATGGTTATTGCAACAAACAATTTCCATAAACATATAACAAACGTTTTCCTGGGTCAGTCATACCATGTTGATCTTTTTGAAGCCATTTTCCTAATTTCTCCTGCATATTTACAGCTTTAACTTGATCCAGTGAAATTAGCTTCAAACATAGTTTGAAACTGAGGATGAAGCAACACCACAGATTTGGCAGAAAGCTTTCCTAAAACCCCTGTTTGACATCAAGCTTTGGAGGCTGCAGAAAATGCATCATGAATATTTTACCAAGGGACCATCTGGCTAATGCACCTGAGTAAAAAAAAACTAAGGTTTTTATTTATGGTTGATGAAAACGATGTGTTATCCAGAGCGAAGCTGGCCCTCCTTTTATTTATCGTTTATCCCTTTTTTTACAGGAAGACACAAAGGGAGTCATATTGTAGAGTTCCTTGTTGTCTGTTCGTGATCATGTGATGGTTGGGGTTTATTTATTTTTTTGTAAATTTAGTTTGGATTTTAGATAGATAAATGTAATTTTTATTAAGACTGAAAAGCTCCACCCATCATGTGTGTTAGCTGTTAATTGGTAGAGCGATGTACCTACCAATGGTGTGTTTCAGTGATACAACAACACTCCATCAGCACTGTGGGCTGCCCCCTACTGGCCAAACCTAATATTTGCATGTTTCCCACCAAATAAATAAATGAAAAATACAGCGGGAAAGGAGGACACAAAGGGCATAACTATAAGGTCTCATCTAAACTGGTGCGCCTGCACAGCTGGATTCAGTAATAATTGACCCGTTTTATCCTGTGTCATTTCCCACTGTAACTAAACTGATCTCAGAACGGCGTGATTTTACCCGAGGATAGGCTCTTTTAAATGTTGCTGACAGAACAGTTCCATGTTGGCCATTTGAAGTGCAAAAACAAGCCATAAGTTGGCTCAGTGAAATTCACTATGCAACTTAAATTTGTGGGATTTGTGTTAAATCTTTTACCGTAAAACTTCACGTGGTCAACTCCTGCTCTATATTATCAATATTAATGTGTGTCTGTACTTTTGCCCAAATAGTTGCCTAAAACACCCAAACATCAAACGTGATGCTGGGAAATGTTGGGTGATTTATGCAACGGGCTTACGGTTGGTGTTAACTTTGTTGATATCTAAAAGTTTTGTATTTTTGAAAGAAAAAAACAAACACATCATAACTCGCATTTTCTTGTTTTGTCTTGTCTTGTCTGTCTTGTCTCTGTCTGTCCTTATGTGTCCTTTATGTCCTTTTCATTTAATATCATTTTCAATTTTACTTATCATCTTTGTTTTCTCTCATGACCTCATGTTTGTTTTTTAAAACTTGTGTTACCATCATAACAAACCACCGGGCATTTAAACATTTGTCATTACATGTCCAAACATTTCATGTTTTATTTGCACACCTTCAATCATTACCGTTTGTTAAAATGATGTCTTAAAGCAACGGGCTATGAGAAATCGCGAAGTCTCAATAACATATCCGGAGTAGCCGGGTCAGCCCTGCGACTCGCTCCTATCACCAGTCCACCGTTCGAGACCTACGAAACTCCGGGGCAGCTGCGTCGTTGTCGTTCCCCTATTCCGTCGATTTTGTAGCTGAAAAGATTCACGTGATTGGGTGACAGAGACGAGCAGTAGACTGAAAAACATGCAAAGAAATAGCAATAATGTGAAAAAAGAACTTTGATTGTAGAATGACCATTAGTCTTGTGAATACAAAAGTTTGTTATGCATGCATCGAGTATGCAGATGGGGCAAAGTGCAAAACGTAGCTTTAAGAATAAAATTACAAGATACAGTTTTAATTAAATAAATTGATTAGGTAATAGTATCAATGGTAATAACAAAGAAAACATTTTCAAGTTTAAATTTGTAGGTAAATGTCCATTTTCGTGTGTTAAGGACCAAACATAAGCTTACTTCTACAAATGAAGAAATGACCACAAAACAAAATAAGTTCGTTTAGCGAAAAGAAAAGAAAATCTCCATTAGATTTATCATTTATTATTAATAATATTATAAATCCCCAGCTTCTGCAGGCCACAGTTTCAACATACCATCATCTCATTATATGACTTTTTGTGGTTAGTTTAAATAGTAAAGCCAAATGATGTCACGAGTTTTTCTAAAGAAAAAATAATAATAAGCTGTAGAATAAATAATGAAACAGTTGTTTCTGTTTAGTTCATTGCTGAATCCCATATATGCAACTGAAGTTAAAATTAAAGATCCATTCAGCCTTTTCTAAGAGGAGGTGGCTGCGAGAATCTGATGTACTTATCTCATCTATATTTAAAAAAAACATGACAGGCCTGTAAGGATAATGTTTAGTCAAAGTTGTAGGATTATTTGAAAAATGTTAAAACAAAAACAAATCATGTAAATCACGTCAAGAACTAGAAACAGATCATTTAAACTTAAATATAAGCTTTCATTTTTAGGTATTTTTAATGAAACCTACTAGTGTCGCTGTAAGTGATGTTTACCACCAAGCAGGTCTCTTCCTAAACATGCACACCTCCCGTGTTTTCATGTAGTCTTCACATGACAACAAAATGAAATGCTGTGAAATGCTAAATTGTGACGGTTTTGTATGAGGGAGGTCTGGTTGTGTTTGGGGACTAGTCTGGATTCACTAATAGGAAGCAGTAAGACTAATTCTACAATTTGAATTCAATTAAAAATGAAAACAAAATAGGTGCAAATAGTGCAATTTTTTTCTGCCTGAGCCAACCAGCTAAAGGTGGAATGCTGCTGTTTCAGAAAATTGGACTCACTGAATTGATCTCAGAAGTTCATACAAAGACGATCAATACACTAAACGTTCCATCATTTCAACACATTCTCACTCCCAGCGCGTCAAAAACAAACGCTTGGTCAGCCACCCTCCGCGTCAGACCCCCTGATGCCAAAAGTGCCCTTTTTCGTCACTTATGTGCAAAAAGGGTTTTTTCCCTTTTCTGACTGCAGATCCCAATGCAGCGTAAAACTGACGTGATGGGATATCCGCTACCGTTGCATCCCAGTGCAGCGTTAAACTGACGTGATGGGATACCCGCTACCGTTGCATCCCAATGCAGCGTTAAACTGACGTGATGGGATACCCGCTACCGTTGCATCCCAATGCAGCGTTAAACTGACGTGATGGGATGTCCGCAGCCAGGGCACCAAACAAGCTCATTGTACATCACCCTAACCTTATCCTCTTGTTATCTAACCTTCCTCTCACCCCTATCCTAACCTTAACCATCCTGCTAGCTAACACGTTAGTGATGTGTCGGTTGCTCTAAAAGCCGGCTCTATGAAGTGAACGGCGGGAGCTGCCTCTTCATTGGTCGGGTTTGAACCGAAGCAAAGTGATGGGGAGGTTTCAACTACCAAGGTGGAGGTTAAAGGTAGAGGGTATTTGTAACCTCCCCCTCGCCAGATGGTATGTTCTAACATTCTCCTTGGGTGGCAAATACGAAAATTCACAGTCAGAATGCATGGGAAACAAATGCTTGATGACAGTGAGAGTAACGTTTTAGGTAGCAAGAGGGTTAAGGTTAGGATGAGGGTGAGGGGAAGGTTATAAATAGCAAAACGTTAAGGTTTAGGTGCGGTTAAATGAGCTGGTTCGGTGCCGCATCAGCGGACATCCCATCGCGTCAGTTTTACGCTGCATTGGGATCTGCAGTTAGAAAGGGGTAAAACCCCTTTTCGCACATAAGTGACGAAAAAGGGCACTTTTGGCATCAGGGGTCTGACGCGGAGGGTGGCTGACCAAGCCTTTGTTTTTGACGCGCTGGGAGTGAGAATGTGTTGATCATTTATTTGGTGATAGTAAATTACTGAATGGACCAATAACAAAAAACCTTATCAAAACAGTAGCATGAAATTTTAAAATATGTGCTAAATTTGTTTATTTTTATATCTGTAGAAATCCAAGTGCAATGTATTTAAAAAGCTACTCAGAAAAACCCCACATACCACATCAGCTATGAAGGAATGTAACTATTCATAATGTTGAAACTAATAAAAGCACTTTACTAAAAATCAGTAGAGATAGCTAACCTTTAAAACTTGCATGTTGGCATAAATAACAAAATATGTAGAAATACTTGAACAGACCAGGTGCACGAACACCTCTGCAAACATCTTTCACTCCATTACTAAGCTTTTGTATCCATTCATGTTTTCTGTTGTTGTTTTAAATGTTTATCAAAATGATTTTATTTATATTGTTGAAAGTTAAATCTCTTTTAAGCAAGTTACATTTCTTTTACTTTAATTTGTAACGTAGGTTAGCATAACCAAGATTTATTTTGTTAGCAGTTGAGCAAAAAAAAATAATAATAATGTCACGTTCACATATGCAATAAACATGCGATGCATAAATTTAATGCTGGGAAACATTCTGTGCACAAAACTTGTAAATATTCAGATATATTTTTAACCTAAAAGTACACAGATTTAAAAGGCAGATAATCTGGCTGTTCCTAATGAAAATGTACAAAATATTATACCATAAGTCATTTCTCCTCTTTGTTTCATGCCAATTTTAAAGTTGTGGGAGCTAATTTCTATGGTTTAGATTTAGAAAAAGTTGAACATTTTTTTGTCCAATAATCTGTATTTATTGTTAGAAATTATATTTCTGCATTATATTTCTGATTTAGACATTCTGAATGTCTAAATCAAGATTTGTTCAAATCCAGTCACATTGTAACTGCCTGTGAGATGTTTGGAAGAAATATGAGATTACAATTATGAAAACAACAACAACAACAACAAAAATAAAAAAATAAACATGGAGCAGGTTTTCCAGGTAAAAAGGGAGAAACTTTCCATGTTTTGATAAATTAATTGGCATAATCTATAGTCCTGGTTCACATTTTTTAAGTCCATGTGCTTCCAAAATATTTAGATATGCACCTTTTAGATGAAACCACTTGAATATTTGTTTGACTAAAATTATATTGTTATGTTTTTATCATACAATCATTTTAAGCAGTAAAACTTGGTTGGGTTTGTCTTTTTAGTCCAAAGTTGTAAATTCCTGTGTTTATTACAAAGTTTTCATGTAAAGGAAGTACAGTATTTTAAGTGTTGTCTGAAAATGTCTGAAGCAAATTGCAGACCTTTGTTTCTTAAGTGATTCAGTGAACTTTTATTGCTATTCAAGGAATAATGCCAAACTGAACTTCTATTGTTATATGGTAGGGAAGCTCTGGTTTTTAAATGAGTTTAACCTGAAGAATGATATGCATGATGGTGTTCTGTTCATTGTTCATGATGGGTTAAACTAATCATAGGAATCATCATCAAAACTAACATTTGTGCTCAACGCTTCATTAAACTTTCTGAGCTGATTGAAGTATTGTGTACCATTTTGTGTACGTCAGATAGGATAAGAACCATGCTATGATTTTAATAAATCTGGTATTTGTAGGTTATTGGGGTTGGATTGGTGGGGAGTCAAACCACCAAAGTGTTTCCGAGCGCAGCCACTGCTGCAACTCACCGCTCCCCACGGGGATGGGTCAAATGCCGGGATGAATTTGACCAGTGTGTGATGATGATTAATGGGACTTTAACTTTGACTTTGATGAGATCTTCAGATGTGTATTAACATTAATGGGGTTTCTGATTACATGTGAGAGTGTATTAACTTCAGAATGGCTCTGAGGATGATAAAAAGGTGTTAGCATCATTGTGGAGGTTTATTAACATGCATAACAAGGTACAGGGTGGCTAGTGGTTATGGAGATAGAATTAGGACAATATTACAAATCACTTGTACCAAGTTATGTAACTTGTAACATGTTTTGTAGCATGTAATTCACATTTTGTAATACATAGTTTTCATTTTGTAACATGTAATTTTCATTTTGTAACATGTAATTTGTATTTTGTAATATGTAACTTTTGTTTTGGAACACTTGCTATTAGTTTTGTAACATGGAACTTTCGGTATGTAACATGAAACTTTTATTTTGTTACTTGCAGAAAAAAAATCTGTGTACAAGTTTCAAATCACAAATGTCAAAACACACATCTCAGTCTACAATTATGTTTATGTTTATTCATTTAGCAGACGCTTTTATCCAAAGCGACTTACAATTTATAACCTATAGGGCATGTTGTGATCTGTGGGGGAAACCGGAGTACCCAGAGGAAACCCACTCATGCATGGGGAGAACACGCAACTCCACGCAGAAAGGCCGCAGCCGAGTTTCGACCCTGCAACCTTCGTGCTGCGAGGCAACAGTGCTAACCACTGCACCACCATGCAGCCATGCACTTACAATGTCTATGAGTTGCAAAATGTGAGTTACATGCTACAAAATATAAATTACAGGCCGCAAAACAAAAGTTACAGTTACAAAACATGTTACAAGTTACAAAACTTTGTACAAGTTACATGTAGTATTGTCCCAATCTTAGCTCCATACTGCATACAATGGCATGGCTTGGTTATTGAGAAATTCGAGCAGGCTTGGCCTCATTCCAAGGTTATGACCCCATGTCACCAGCCAAGTCATATTGGAGTTTGTGGTTTACAAGTTCATAAGCCAGTTACTCACTGGGCTGCAAGTTTTAGCAAAAAATTGTTAACGGCATTTGAAAAAAGTTTCCAATTGTGTTAGTCAGAAAGTGTGAGAAATATTTGACAACTTTGGGGTTGGTGATCTATGGAACAAAAAAATCTGACAGTTCAGACATAAAATAGGTGTGAGAAAATAGTCAATTATATTATAATAAATGTAAAAAGGGGGTGGGCAATACGGTGATACAACTGTAAAGGATTTGAATGATCTGCTAAAGCAGAGAGATCTGAGGCTCTTGAAGTCATCTTCCAGCTGTAGTATTTTGTAGGTAGCTACTAGCGCATGTTAGCATAATACAGCTAAGCTTTTTTTACAGAAACATTTTTTCTTTTACAGCACTTAACCCAAACAAGGACGATGGATTAATAATAAGATCTTATCAACATCTTTGTTAAGGTTCTTACCTGTTGGTCTTAGACCAAAATAAAATAAAAACCCTCCAGACTGAGTTGTCAGACCACTAAAACCTGTCCAAACACCCTAGGCCCAGTTCACATGGCAGGATTTTAAAATTGTTGATTGATTCTGTAAACATGAAAAGACCCCACATGCAGCGATAAAAAAATAAATAAAAAAATCACGAATATACCAGTTTGGTCCTGCAGTGTGTAGACAAAAACTACATCTCAACCAGTTTCATACACCAACATTCCCTTGACAGACAGGAATTCTCTCGAAATCAAAGATAACTTCTGAGTGAACAAACATAGAGGAGGAAGCGCGTGCTTTACTTCCATCCTCTCGCTTTCAACAGGAAGCTCGCTCGATTGTCTTTGAAATTTTAACCAAGATTACCAAACACGTCAGAAAAGAGTAGAATGCCTTCTCTGGGCCAGGGTTGTGGTCCTGCCCCAAGTGGAGGAGTTTAAATATCTCAGGGTCTTGTTCAAGAGTGAGGGAAAGACAGGCAGATTGGTGCTGCGTCTGCAGTGATGCAGGCGTTTTACCGATCAGTAGAGCTGAGCTAGAAGGCGAGGCTCTCGGTTAACCGGTCGATCTACTTTCCTACCCTCAACCATGGTTGGGGTTTATCCCTTGGGTCCATGTGACAGGGGTGAGGAGTGAGCACCACATCACCCCTGCCACATGGACCTCAAGGGATAAACCATCAATCCTGCTCAGTGGTCAACTTTCCTCGCGGGGTCACCCATAAAGACAGTGGGAGGGTTAAATCCACAATTACCACGATTAGTGATTTTTATAGCTGATCTAGCAGTTCATTGGCTGTAACTTAAGAGTAATGTGAGGCTTTACGTATTTTGAAGTTGGGTGTCTTTTCCGTTAACTGTTATTGACATCTCTAGATCACATTCAGATGCAACTTCCCATAGAAAAAGGCTACATTGCACAGC